GCAGAGGGAGAAGCAGGCTTCCCGCTAAGCAGGGAGCCCGATGCGGGACTCGATCCCAGAACCCTGGGATCATGACCTGAGCCGAAGGCAGACGCTTAACCATCTGAGCCACCCAGGCGCCCGTTTTTTGTTTTTTGTTTTTTTTTTTAAAGATTTTATTTATTTGACAGAGACACAGCGAGAGAGGGAACACAAGCAGGAGGATTGGGGTGGGAGAAGCAGTCTTCCTGCCGAGCAGGGAGCCTGTTGTGGGGCTCTGTCCCAGGACCCTGGGATCATAACCTGAGCCGAAGGCAGATGCTTAATGAATGACTGAGTCACCCAGGCGCCCCCCCATGTTTTCTTTTTTTCCTTTCAAAGAAAGGAAAGATGGTTTCCCATTGTGTTTGGACTTGCCTTGATTTGAACTAGCTTGAATGATACGAAATTGCTGATATTCAGTCTTTTTTTTTTTTTTTTTACCTACAGAAATGGTAGTACCCTTGGTTGTCCCAAATAGATTACTCTCACAAACATTTCATTACCTCTCTATTAACTTCTGTATTATCTTATTTTTACAATCTGAGAAAACAAGCTCAGGAAGGATAATGGGATTTGTCCAAAATCATAGGACTAATATGCGTCAGGATAGACTAAGACGTTATTGAAGACCTGCATGTCCTGTAATAACAGTCATAAGGTGCTTTTGATCTGATCGAGGGACAAGTGTATATGAAAATAATTCACATCCGGCCCCTGGTTAATGATATGTCCTAAGAGTGTTAGTGGAACTGTGCCATAAATTGATTAATGAACCTGTCATTAGACTAGGTTCCTTCAAACATTTACTGAGTCTCTGTTCTGTGCCTGGCATTCTTAGAGAGAGAGAAGGTGGGCACGATAAATGCAACTGGTACCTACTCTGAAGGAGCTTGTGATGTACAGAAGGAGGGGGACAAGTGAATCAGTAATTATGATGCAGAAGAAAAGTGTTAGGTAAGGCCTCAGAGGAGGGTCACTTATTCGCTTAGAAAGGAGAGAGGGGAGGGGTGCCTGGATGGCTCAGTTGGTTGAGCATCCAACTCAGGCCCTGATCTCAGGGCTGAGGTCATGACCTCAGGGTCGCGGGATTGAGCCCTGCATTGAGCCCCGTGTCGGGCTCCATGTCAGGCTCCATGTCGAGCTTCATGCTCAGTGTGGAGTCTGCTTGAGATGCTTTCCTCCCTTCTTCCCCTCTGCTCCTAGTGTGCGTGTGTGCATGTGCGCTCTCTCTCTCTCTCAAATAAAAAAATAAAATCTTTTAAAAGGAAAAAAAGAGAGAGGGGAAGACCCAGCAAGGAACATTTCTGGTTATTTGGCTTACACTTCAGAGAAGGAGAAAGAGCTTTCCAGGTAAAGACAGGGAGAGGACATTTTAGGCAAGGAAGAACGTGTGCAGAGAGTCATAGAGAACATGTGCATTTGGAGCTTGGAGCGTGCACTGGGAAAGAGATGAAGCTAGAGAGGAGGGTAGGTGATACATAGGCTGCTGTGTCACAAGGGAAGGAGTTGGACTTTTCGCTTGTAGGCTGTTGAGGAGCTTTTGAAGGTTTCTAGAAAGAGACCTTTGAATTATTTGTGCTGGGTGTGTTTAGGAGGCAGCTGCTTTCCTTTGCCATGCATGCTAGTAGTTCATTCCTCACCAGTAAAATGTTCCTTTTTCTTTTTTTCTTTCGACTCACAGTTCACGGAGACGTTTTTGGCAGAGAGGGACAAACAGTCCAAATGGAGTGGCATTCCTCAGCTGCTCCTGAAGCTGTATGCAACCAGCCACCTCCACAGTGACTTCATTGAGTGCCAAAACATCCTCAAGGTAACTCTTAGGGGCTTTGGAAGGGTTGCGTTCAAAGCCTCGGTGACACAGATGTCTGTTTTTTTCTCCTTCAGTTTACTTTTTAAAATAGCCTGTTTTTAATGTGTAAGCTGTAGAAAATTTGGGAAATTCAAAAAAAAGTACAAAGAAGAAAATAAAAATGAACTATAATCCCACCACCCAGAGATAATCACCATTAAGTTCCCTCTGTCTATCCTTCTGGGCTTTTTTTCACACTTGTTTTGTGGCAGTGCTTGCTTAATTTGGGAGGCCAACACTATGTCCTGGGATTGGGATGACATTCTTTTTGAGCAGGATTTTTAAAACTCCCATATTGCTAAAGGTTCAAGGAAGTAGCCTTGTGGTTGTTGATCCATTATGACCAACATAAGAAGATGAAGGACCTGGGGTTGATGGTTGGGAGAGGGATGGAAGAGTGCAGAGAGATGCTAAGGCACTTGTTCTCAAACTTGAGTGTGTATCAGAATCACCTGGAAGGCTTGGTAAAATAGAGTGCTGGGCCCCACGCATCTGCCCAGAGTTTCTGGTTCAGTAGGTCTGGGGTTACCGTATCTAAACTTTAGCTTGGGGGGGGGTGGGTCCAAATTTGAATTTAGATCACCAGTACTAGCTGCAGTTAAAACTCATGCAAGTTATGGTTGATCATAATGAAACTTGATATAATGTTCTTCATAGGTAAAGTTTTGATTATTATATCACGTAAGTCATTCTCAAATACAGTAGGCAGCAAATAAGTTTTACCTTTAAGAAGAGATGTTTTGTCTGTACAACTTTTCTATAAATTGAAAATCATTTCTAAATAAAAGTTTATTTAATTAAAAAAAGGTGTTTTGTATTCTTAGTATTATAGTTTGGGATAGAAATAATTATAGTCTTTTACACTTGTTTGAAAACTCTTTGCAAGGAATTATACATTATTACACTTGATTCCTGCAAAATCTGAGATACAGGGTAGAAGGAAAGAGAAATTTAACATTTGTGAGTACTTGCTGTGTGATCACTATCTCTTTATTCATCGAACACATGCTTCTTTGAAGCCTGTGTACCAGGCGTATTTAATTCTTATGGTAACTCTGTGACATGGTGGTATACTTACTTGTTTTAGTCCAGAATAAGTTTGATTGCAAGTGACAGTAACCCACTCAGACTAGCAAGAAAGATCCTTTATCGTCTCACATAACTGGAGAACACAGGTGTGAATTCAGGGGGCTGAACAGGGTTAAGCTATCCATTTCTTATCTTGACATCTGTGTTTGGTCTAATGTTCCTCCACGTGATCACAGCTCTAGGGTGACATTTCTATAACTTGGGCCAGCCACCGAGGTGAGGGGGCTGAGAGACTATTGATGAGGCCTGATCACCTGCTCCTGGGGCTAGCACTGAGGTGCTTGGTGGCAGCTGCAGCAGAACTCTGGAAAGTGGTGAGGGGCCTTTTCCCCAAGGAAATGGGGTTTTTACTTGAAGAAGAGAAAAAGAGATAGTGGGCAGGCAAACCCAGATGTCTTCTACAATTCCCTTTTTCAGTTGAAAGAACAGCCTCAGCAATAAGCCACCCAAAGCCTGTGGCTATCACATGATGAGCCCAGATTTGTCGTCCTTCTAAGACCAGCTTCCACTGTACCATGTTGCCAGCAAGAATTACCGCCTAGTTTTATAGTTGAGAAAAATGAGACCCAGAGAAAGTGGTTCAGTCTTTAGTAAGTGGTTCAGTCACTGATTACGTGAGCCTGGGCAACTTTGTGATTTTGCTTTTCATATATAAAATGGGTAAAACTATACTTATTTCATTGAATTATTTTAAGGATTAGATGGGCTAAAGTATCAAAGTCTGGTGCCCAACATAACAGGTTGTCTGTAAGAGTTCTGCTTTTTCTTGGTGTGTGGTACCTGGACCAGCAATATCAGCAGCACTTGGGAGGTTGTTATAAATGCACATCCTCAGGCCCCACCCCAGGCCTCTTGAATCAGAAACTCTGCAGGTGGGACTCAGCCGAATGGGTTTTAACAAGTCCTTCAAGTGATTCTGATGTTCACCGCTGTGTGAGAACTGCTGCTCCAGCCCATCGTGTTCCATCTTCCCTCAAGATCCCTGAAGAGAGCATAAGAGTAGGGTCCTGGATTCTTCCCACACTATCTCCTGTTTCACCCCAAATAGTTACTTTTTCTTCCATAAGTGCAAACTCTGGAGCTAGACTTCCTAGATTTAAATCCTGGCTCTGTCACTTACCAGCTGTGTGACCTTGACAACTTCTTTGTATCTCATTTTGCTTATCTATAAAATTGGGATAATAAATTACTGTTATCTTGTAGGTTTGTGAGGATTAAAAAGGGTCATGCATGAAGTACTTAGAACCATATCTGGTACGTAATAAGCATTAGATAATTGAGCTATTGTTACTATTCAAATTTTGATCATCATATTAGCTTTTCTGTAAGATTATTATTTTTTTCTATTGTTGTTCATTGGGGGCTATCTTTGGGCTCATGGGCATTCAGATTGTGACGAAAATGCAAACTGATGTTTTGGTGTGTGGTTCTTCTTGGATACTAAAACTGAAAGTCTCTGTATACTTTTTTTAAATTAGGAAATTTCTCCTCTTCTCTCCATGGAGGCTATGGCATTTGTTACTGAAGAGAGGAAACTTACCCAAGAAACCACTTATCCAAATACTTATATTTTTGACCTGTTTGGAGGTGTTGATGTAAGTAGTTGTTCATTATTACTACTGCTTAATGGCTTGAGTATTTAACTCTTGAAATGGGAGAAATGAGACATTTCAGAATTTATAGCAAACAGTTCAGAATTTTAATCTCAGAAGCTCAGGGGCACTCACCTGTGTTGAACACCATAGCTTTTACATGAGAAGAATTGATTTATTTGAGTTGATAATATATCCACCTTTTTCTTTTTTTAAGGCACAAAGTGAAAGGTGTTGTCTCCTATCCCCCATCCCTTCCTCAGAGGCAGCTGTGATTTCTAGTTTTTCTGTGTCCCTCCAGAGATGTTCTGTGGTAATGTGTGTGTGTGTGTGTATGTTTGTGTGTGTGTATGTAAATAACCCCCACTGTTCTCACGTTAGATTTATTTTCTCCCCACATAGAGGTGGCATACCCCATATACAGATACTGCTCTGTACCTTGCTTTTTCCATGTAATTCTCTAGCTTGGGGATAGATGCAGTATATGTAAATCTGCCTCATTATTTTAAATAGCTATATAGTATTCCCTGGTATAATTATACCGTAATTTATTTACCCAGGCCCCAATTTATGGGCATTTAGAGTTTTCTCACACCTTTCCTTTTACAGCAGGGTTGCAGTAAAGGTTTTTGTACATGGGAGTATATACCTATGGGATCAAAACATGTGTGCTTTTTTGTTTATAAACTCATTAATTATATACCTAAGAGGTTTTATCAGCTTATATCCCCAGTAACAAAGTATAAGAGTGTCTGTTGATCCACACCATCACCAACACAGTGTATATATGTGGGTTTTTATGGACTGTGTTATTGAAGTCTTGCTTATAGAAAAGTACACCAGTAATTTCCAGAAACAAAAGAACTTCACCTTTGTCACTGCCACCCAAATCATGAAATGGAACATTACCAGCCCCCAGTAGCCTTCTTTACCAAATGGTACATTTTAAGTAAGTTTTAAATATTTATTAAGTAGATATGAGAAAAATGGTATTTCTTCAGTTTCTTAAAAAGTTTTATTGAGATATAGTTCACATACCATACAATTCACCCATTAAAGTATACAATTCAGTGGTTTTTGGTAAATTCATAGATACGTGCAACCATCACCACAGTCAATTTTAGGATATTTTTATCACCCCAGGAAAAACTCCATATGTTTTAGCTATCACTCCCCTACACACCCCTATCATAGGCAACTTTTACTCTATTTTCCATCTCTATAGATAAGCCTATTCTGGACATTTCATCTGAATGGAATCATGTAATATGTGGTCTTCTGTTACTGACTTCTTTTACTTAGCTTAATGTTTTTACTTAGCTTAATGTTTTCAAGTTCATCCATGTTGTAGCCTGTTATCAGTACTTTATTCCTTTTTATGGCTGAAGAATATCCATGGATATACCACATTTTGTATATCTGTCAGCTGATGGACTTTTGGGCTTCTACCTTTTAGCTGTTAAGAATAATGCTGTTTTGGGGCTCCTGGGTGGCTCAGTCGGTCAGCCTTCGGCTCGGGTAGTGATCCCAGGGTCCTGGGATCGAGCCCCACATCATGCTCCCTGCTCAGTGGGGGGCCTGCTTCTCCCTCTGCCTGCAGCTCCCCGTGCTTGTGCTCTCTCTCTCTCTCTGTCAGATAAATAAATAAAATCTTAAAAAAAAAAAAAAAGAAGAATGCTGCTCTTAACATTTGTGTCCCACTTGCCGTGTGGACGTATGTTTTTATTAATTTTGGGTGTATACCTGGAAGTGGATTTGCTGGTAACTCTTAACGTTTAATCTTTTGAGGACCCTTTAGACTGTTTTCCAAAGCAGCTGCACCATTTTACATGCCCACCTATGGTGCATGCAGGCGCTTATTTTTCCACATCCTTGTCAACATCTGTTGTTATCTGTGTTTTTGGTTATAGCCATCCTCCTGGGTGTGAAGTGGTATCTCACTGTCCTTTTGATGTGTATTGTCTTATGGCTAATGGTGTTGAGCATCTTTTTATGTGCTTATAGGTCATCTGTATGTCTTCCTTGGAAAATACCTCCTTTTCATATTTTTTTTAGAAAGATTTATTTATTTTAGAAGAGCGCTCATACCTCGTGGTAGGGGAGGGGCAGAGAGACTCTTCAAGCCGACTCCCTGCTGAGTACAGAGCCTGACAGGAGCTTGATTTCACAACCCTGAGATCACGACCTGAGCCAAAATCAAGAGTTGGCCTCTTAACTGAATGAGCCACCTAGGCACCCCTCCCTTTCCCGTTTTTTAATTGGGTTGTCTTATTATGCATTCTAAGAGTACTTTATATATTCTCTTCATAGTTTTTAAAATTTGCATTCTTCTATCAGTGGGATTGTGTGTAAATTAAATGCCTGCAGGGACTGTGGAGAAGTGGAGAATGTGGTCCCTTTTATGGGGAAATGACTCTTTAATGCCCATTAATTGCGGTTGCCCTAGGGGATGTGGGAAATCTAGATTCTTACGTAAAATCTCCCAGCTTTTCAGTAGGTGTGGACCAAATGAAATGTCTGTGGGCCAGGTGTAATCCATAGCTTGGCATTCAGGAACTTTTCATTTATTCATTGATTTAGTTCATCTTCCACTTGAATTTATATTCTGTGTGGTTGAGCATCTTATGCCTTTGGATGATTGTGAGAAGTGAGGCATCTCTTTTGAAAACTGTTTAGTATGCCTTAAACCTTAAAGATCATTACCCGTTTTGCCTTGCTTACATTTCTGTAAATCTCTCATGAAGACATAAGTCAAAATGAGATGAAACTTTGTATACGAAGATGCTTAGTGTAGCTTCATATATAGTAGTTAAAAGTGTCCATCAGAAGGAAGGTAATTTTTGTTCTCTGTAAGGTCAGTGGTGATACAGTTGATTTACTAAATTAGTTTTTACCCTAATTCTTATTTTTTCCTTTTTTCTGCTTGCTTTGCGTTTGTACCTCTTTTTCCAGTGTCTCAGTATGGAAGATTAGGTTACTGGTTTGAGATAATTCTTTTTTGTTTTTTGTTTTTTTTTTTAAGTATAGGCATTTACAAATCTATAAATTTCCCTCTAAACACTGCTTTACCTATATCATAAGTTTTACTGTATTCATCTATCTCAAAGTATTTTCCAGTTTTCCTTGTGATTTCTTCTTTGACTCATTGATTAATTAGGATTTGTTTTTTAATTATCCACATTGGTGAATTTCCCAAATTTCTTTGTTATTAATTTTTAATTTCATTTCATTGTGGTCAGAGAATATGCTTTGGTAATTTCAGTGCCTTTTAATTTATGAGGCTTGTTTTATGGTCTAATATGTGATTTATCCTGGAGAATATTCCACGTGTGCTTGAGTTGAATGTGTATTCTGTTGCTAGGCAAAATCTTCTGTAGATGTCTGTTAGAGCTTGTTGGTTTTATAATGTTCAAGTCTTCCTATTTCTTTGGTGATGCTTAGTTGTCCATCATTAAAGGTAGGATATTGAAGTGTCTGTTATTTTTGAATCGTTTGTTTACTTCAGTTCTGTCAGCTTTTGCTTTATGTACTTTGAGGTTTTGTTGTTAGGTGCATGTATTTATAATTGTAACATCTTTCTGATGACCATTTTCTCATAATAAACTGTCCTTTGTCTCAACAGAATGGGTTTTTAAATGCATGCTTATTGTAAAGAGTTTAAGTAAAAATCGTGTTGTATTAAAAGTATGTAAAATGAGGGGCGCCTAGGTGGCTCAGTTGGTTAAGCGACTGCCTTCGGCTCAGGTCATGATCCTGGAGTCCCTGGATCGAGTCCCGCATCGGGCTCCCTGCTCAGCAGGGAGT